CCACCACCCACATCCATGACCAACCACCACCAACCACCCACACACCTCCACTAACCACCCACCAACCACCACCACAACCACCACCACCCACCACCACCACCACCACTAACCACCACCTCCATCACCAGTACCACCCACCGCTTTCACTACTCCACTTACCTGTCATTCGTTCACCCTCTTAGTTTCGTAAATGTCCCTGTTCAACTTTTATAACGAAATAACACGAATTTTACCGGCTTAAGTGGCGTCTGTTTACCGCGGTTATCTGGAGTGGTTTCCGTCAGGTTAAGCAAGTAGTGACCGCCGGTACACGTCTCTCTTGCTGTACGACCGTCTATGTTAAAGGAGGAAAAAGTGTGTGTGTGTGTGAGGAGGGTTTGGGAGCCCTGGGAGTGACAGACAGATAGAGACTAAGAGGTAGACACAGAAAGAGAAAAAAGAGCAAGGAAGAGAGATTAAAATAAGATACAAAAAAATAAGATAAATACAGTAGGTAGTTAGACACAGAGAGAGAGAGAGAGAGAGAGAGAGAGAGAGAGATAAAGTAAAAAATAAAGGCGATAAGAGAGGGAGGAGACAATGACCCAGACAGACACACAGACAGAGATACACACAGAAAAAAAAAATAATAATAATTTCCTTGTCCTCAGATTCAGTACAAGGACGGAATTAAGGTAGGGGGGTGAAGAGGGGGGGTAGAGGTGAAGGGGGCAGGGAGGAGAGGGGTAGGGGATGAGGGGTAAGGGGTAGGGGGGTAGAAGAACGAGAGCCGACAAGACACAAACCTGATTTAGGTGACAAAGTGAACATCACAAACTGGTAATTTTGGCGAATATATCACAACTTTTTGGGGGCGAGGTGGGGGAGGGGATGGAAGAAGGGAAGAGGGGAGGGAAGGAAGGAGGGAATGGCAATGGAAGTGAAGAAAGCAATGGAGGGAGGTGAAGGAAGAGGAAGGAAAAAGAGAGGAAGAGGAATGGGTGTGAGATAGTTATGGAAGGAAGGAGGGAGGGTGATTGAGGGCGGTGAAGGGAGGAAGGGAGGGTGTTAGACGGAGGAATGGTTATGGATGGAGGTGGCGGGAGAGAGGGAGAGAGTGACGGTGATAGAGGGAGGGGGAGTAATAAAGGGAAGGAGGGAGGAGAAGAGAGGATGATGGAGTGGGAGTGAGGGAGAGAGGGAGAGAGGGAGGGAGGGAGGGAGGTCGAGGAAACAAAGACCCATTTGGGAAGAAAGTATAACAAAGAGGAGGAAATTATTATGAAGATGGGAAAAATGTTGGACAAGGAAATTAGGTTGATTCCGGAAATATGAGTTTTTTCTGTTCACACACACACACACACACACACACACACACACACACACACACACACACACACACACACACACACACACACTCTCTCTTCTATGACGTCACTGAGTCCCTGTTGGGGCCCGGGTAGTAATTTACACCATATGTTGTCGAGAACACCAAGTCGAATCCCTCACGTCACTCGCCTCATTACCTCACTCTCAGGTGCACTTACCTTTGGTCTACAGGTAAACCTCGTAGTACTAAATGGGCGTTGTAGAGGGGTTAATGGGTGGGTAGATAAGTGGGATAGATAGATAGATAGATAGATAGATAGACAGACAGACAGACAGACAGACAGATAGATAGATAGATAGATAGAGAGATAGGGTTATTTCTCTCTTTATCTCTTGTCTCTCTACTGTCTAATCCACAATCGACTGTCAACCTTTCCAATCCCTTTCTAATCTAATCTGTCTAATCTTCACTGGCAATTCTTCCAATCTCATACCGTCAACTCCTCGATATTTTACTCTCTGTTGATCTAATCTTTACTTTCAACTTCTCTAATCTCTTACTAACTAATCATTACCCAATCCACTCCCTCTAATCTCTAACTAATCATTACCCAATCCACCTCTAATCTCTTAATAACTAATCATTACCCAATCCACTCTCTAATCTCTTACTAACTAATCATTACCCAATCCACTCCCTCTAATCTCTTACCCCCAACTGATTTAGATTCCTGTCAATTCTTCCAATCTCTCCCCGTCAACTAATCCTCGTTTCTGTCTTTTATCCCACTTTCTTTGATCACACTACATTGATACCTTCATATAACGGACTCTCATACCTATGTTGTTCGTTAGATGGAGGTTTTATATCTAAGGTCCCTCGATATAAGGAACTTTTATATTTATATTGTTCGTTAGATGGAGGTTTTATATCTTTATGGACCCTCGATATAACGGACTTTCATACCTTTATTGTTCGTTAGATGGAGGTTTCACAGCTAAAGGACCCTCGATATAACGGACTTTCCTCTCCAAATAGTCCGTTAAAAAGAGGTTTCACTGTTGTTATGGACGGCTCAGAATCGTCATATTACCGGCTGGTGAGTTTGGCCCGGTTTCCCTTGGCTGTTGTACCTCCAGCTGAGGTAATCTGCTTGTTTTTACTGTTCGGACATTGTCAAATTTAGCAACATATAATGTGTTTGGTATATTAAGGTCGAAATTTTCCTCCATTTTATGTATCTGTTTGTGTGTGTGTGTGTGTGTGTGTGTGTGTGTGTGTGTGTGTGTGTGTGTGTGTGTGTGTGTCTGTCTGTCTGTCTGTCTGTCTGTCTGTCTGTCTGTCTGTCTGTCTGTCTGTCTGTCTATCTATCTGTCTCTCTCGCTCTCTCGTTATCTGTACTACTTCTGAAACACCCTGTACAATGTATGCTCATGAAATTCTTACAGACAGCGAGGTGTTTGTAGCCGCCAGTAATCCTTGGAATACAGGACCGATTTATGTAACTGTACCACGACACAAAACAAACGTGGCCATCATACATGTATTACCGACAAGTGACGTAAAACTGACTCCATGATTACCTGGACACTGACACTAATAATGAGAGCCACTACCTGAGTTATAAACACTGTGGGATTAGCCAATTAGATATTTAAAAGCTCCTGACAGGTGTACATGACTTCTACAATGACACTAACTAAACTGATAGTAACTACCGTCACAACTACCTACACTTCGCCTCTAACTACGTGATAACGAGAGCCGCTACCTCAGTTATCATCGAAGGAGGTTAGACCAACATAGTACTTAAACAGCCCTTAACAGCTTCATGACTTGCTGAAAGAGCATAATAAACTGCATGATAAACTATACAGTATATGATAATGTAACAAAAATATACGGGCTCTCTCTCTCTCTCTTAGCTTTGCCTCACTTTCGTGCGGGATATCCATCACTGCAACTGCTATCAACAATCATTGCTTCATCTGCTCACATTACGTGCATATTCCTCTGACACTCACATGATTCACAGGAACACATCTTCCACATCTGTCGACTCTAGTCTCGCTCTGTCTTGGTGGTGATCCGCGAAACTAGTATTTAGGATTACCTAACACATGGCCTTACTTACCTGAGCGGTTCTACTCATTGTAAACACAAATTGTGGTTTCTTTTGCAACAGGAAAGGTAATTTATCAAGCAGGCGCGTAATGTAATTGTTGTGTGTGTGTGTGTGTGTGTGTGTGTGTGTGTGTGTGTGTGTGTGTGTGTGGTCACACACACACACGTTGGGAAAAAATTAAAACAAGACAACAACAAGCAACGTCACACCATCACAGCAGAGTAATGTGTCTTGGGAATTTTTATTGTTGGAAAAAACAAAAACAAATATTCACTCGCAGGGGGCCGAGGAGGAGGATATAGGGAAATTCATCAACCACCTGGCATTGTACCTGGCGATAAATGTAACCACAGGTGCATTGGGGATGAAAATTATTAAGAAACACACACACACACACACACACACACACACACACACACACACACACACACACGTCTCCATTACCCTGTTGTTGACACATTGGCTGGCGGCGCCTCTGAACACACAACGATCAAGGAACCCAGGACGATTTTTTCTCCAGGAAATCGACTCACGTTAGTACATTAGGTCTGAGACATCCAAGACGCTTCTGGTGGTGTGGTTGGTCGTTTAGGTCGATCAGGTTTCGCCCAGGGTCGCTTTTAGGTCCATTTGGTCTACCTGCAGAAAACTGGTATTTTCTTTTCATTATAAATTATACCAGAATAAAAATACGAATTTAAAAAAGCCTGAGTATATAATTGTTAATATCCCACGTCTTTCTAACCAATATGACGCTTAAATAAACAGTGCCAAAAGTGTCCAAGGTATTTTGTCCATAACCGTACACCCACGCGTCATAGTTTCGATGTACCCTCTACCGGGTAGAGTCTACCCCTACCACTGACTCCATGGAAGTCGTAGCCTTGGCTTCATACTGAACGTCTCCCCCCCCCACCCATCGTTCAGTGGTGCAATGTGGTAGCTCGAAGCTTCGCTGAATTGTACGAATAGCAGTTCATGATGTAATATTTGAGAGAATATATACACGATACAGGATTTTAGTGACTCACAACACTTCATTTATCATTACTATACTTAACATTACTGTACAAGAGGGACCGTTCGGCGAGCCAGGAGTAGGGGTAGAGGGTGCAGCGAAACTACTGTATGGCTCGTGAGTGTACATAATTTTTCTCTCGTCAGTGATTAATGTAGAGCGGTCTTTCCCCTCTGAGATTTTTAGTTCATAACGTATGAATTTATTCTTTGTAAAATATATATAATGTAAATATATATCTAATAACGTATAATATAGGTAATTTATTTTTCATATTTTCTTGATCAGGAATATTCTCTTATAATATAAAGTGACTAATAAACTGTATAATGATATTTTTCTCCCTTAGATAATATAGAGAAGAATATTCCTACCACAATACAAAATATTCCTCACTGTAATACAAGACGAAACCCAAGATAATATTTCTCACTATAACACAAACTTGATATGACCCAAAATAATATTCCTCACTCTAACATAAACTTGATATAGCCTAAGGTAATATTCCTCTAAGACTAACAATATCCCTCATATTTTACCTACAGGACCAAGTGGAAGAGACAAACGGCTGTAGGTCTGGAACTATTAGCTGAGGGCGGCTATGGGCGTCTCATGGGTGGTTATTGGCCCTATCCAAGCCCAGCCGGTCTACCCACTCCCACCCATCCCGCCCATCTCTCTGCCGTGGGCGCCCTCTCATCTATGGCGGCTCTTTCGTCTTCTATGGATCTCTATTATAGACACGTAAGTATAGATGAGTGTGAGGTAGAATAATTGTTATAGGTACGTGGGTATAGGGAGAGTGTGAGGTGGTATAATTATAGGTACGTGGGTATAGGGAGAGTGTGAGGTGGTATAATTATAGGTACGTGGGTATAGGGAGAGTGTGAGGTGGTATAATTATAGGTACGTGGGTATAGGGAGAGTGTGAGGTGGTATAAAGGTGGTATGTAATTATAGGTGCATTGCGGTAGAGGGACAGTGTGGTGGTATAATTATAGGTACATGGGTGAAGGGAGGAGGTGTGAGATTAGTAGGCCTCATTGCCTGGAATTGCGTGGGTATCAGGTGTGGTGTATAATTATAGGTACGTGGGTATAGGGAGAGTGTGAGGTGGTATAATTATAGGTACGTGGGTATAGGGAGAGTGTGAGGTGGTATAATTATAGGTACGTGGGTATAGGGAGAGTGTGAGGTGGTATAATTATAGGTACGTGGGTAGAGGGAGAGTGTGAGGTGGTATAATTGTTATAGGCATGAGGGTATAGGGAAAGAGTATGAGGTGGTATAATTGTGTTTGGAAATCGGGTTAGGCAGATGCTTAAACTTAAGGGTTGAATTGGGTTCCAAGGAATGAGAGAGAGAGAGAGAGAGAGAGAGAGAGAGAGAGAGAGAGAGAGAGAGAGAGAGAGAGAGAGAGAGTATATATAAAAACACAGCAATAACATCCTAAATACACTATGTACTTGTAAGTATCAAAAAATTACTAAATAAACTACATACACTTCCATAAACCAATAACACTTAAGCCAGAGCATACATACATTTATATAGCAATACTAACTGAACTGGCACCTATTGTCCACCCAGCTGTGAATGGGTACCTAACGCTGTGGTTTAGGAAATGAAGGTGGTCGAGTGCAGTGCCTTACATGATGCCTCTGTGTGACCAAGTTTATTATGTAACTATCTATCTCTCTGACAGGCACAGTTGGCAGCTCTCAGTCGGTCGGCCGCAGCGGTGTCACCAGGCCCACCACCCACTCTAGACATCACCTCCACCCTCACGCCCACCCTCACGCCCACCCTCACGTCCACCCTCGCGTCCACATTACCGCCAAGCCTCACTTCCTCCGTGGGCTGCACCACAACTAACACCTCCTCGCCCACGCTCGTCGCGCCTAGGGTCATCTATCCACCCACGCCCACACAGGCCGCCCTTGCCCACTACTTCAAACAGTGACGGTGGTAGAGAGAGGGAGTGGGAGACAGACAAACAGACAGACAGACAGACAGAACTCTTTCAATCATGGACGGAAGTGCTGATGGTGTCCAAGCGAAAGAGATAAAGAGAGTGAGAGACAGAACCGGGTCCAGAGACCGAAGTAGACAGACAGAGACCGAGGGATAAAAAGCAAGAAATGAATAGACAGACAAACAGACGGTGAACGAGACACAAACAGACAGAGAGCTAGACAGAGACAGGTAGACAGACGGACGGAACAACACAACTCCCTCAAGCAGAGTCGGCCTTTGTTGACAGTGTCCGTCTAACACTTGGAGCACACGAGTCATGTTGATTAAGTGACGTCACTCCAGGTGTGTGAGGATTCAGGTTAATGATGATTGACGTCACCATGTTAATTCATGATCCAAGCGATGACGTCACAATGACATCTCGGCTGTCTAATGGAGATGACGTCACGTTAACCTTTGACCTGAATGGACGCCGGCGATCATACTAGGTCATGAAGACGTTGTTTACTATGTGTCATTTGATCGTTAGTTATACAGATGTAAATATATACCTCTTAGTAATACAGCCCCCCCCCCCTCTCCCTCCGGTAGCTTTAGTTGATATTTATTACGTTTTCTCTAAATTTTTAAACGTTTTATGTGAATTTTTAAGGTTTTTTGTCAACATATATTCTATCGTTTTCGTCTATTTTAAACGTTTTGTCATTTATTTTGTCTTTTTAAAGTCATTCCTCAAAAAATCCTGTGAATTCAAGGATTTTCTGTAAATTAAAAAGATTTCTGGGTAAATATTTAAAATTTTCTGTGAATTAAACAAAAATAATTTGTGAATCTCCTTACTAATTTTCTGTGGATTTTTCTTACGACTTTCTGTGAATTTTGGAAATTTCTCGGTGAATTTTATTTCTGAAAACAGTGAAAAATTGCCAAAAAAATACCATGACGATATTATAATGAACGGGTCTTCCATGTCGGCAGTAAACGGGAAGACTGACTAAACTCAAGAGTGGAAGGATGTGTTTTATGTAGTGAAAGAGGGATTTTATAGTGAATGAACAGTGAAAGAAATGCTCTGTGTAGTCAAGGAAATGTATGCTTACTATAGTGAAAGAAGGATGTACTTTTTATATTGAAAGAACAGTGAATGAAATGTTCTGTGTAGTGAAGTTAAAGTATACTTACTGTAGTCAAAGAAAGATATACTTTTTAAAGTGAAAGAACAGTGAAGAATATATAGTGAAGGAAATACTTCTTAGATTGAAGGAGTGAAAACTTTGTAAGATAATGGAAGAATCCAATTTGTATTGTGAAAGAAAAGTATATAATATAATATGTTAAGAATATATTTGCATAATTAAAAAAAGACATACGTTCTAGTGAAGGAAAAACATATATACTTTTTTATGAAGAAAGTAATTTATATACTGAAGGAAGGAATTTCTTTATGGAGTGGAAAAAGACATAGTTTCTAGTGAAGGAAATATATATACTTTCTATTGTAGGTTATAACTTATATATAGTGAAAGAAATATAGACTTTCCTCAATAAGGGAAAATTACACTTTCTACTGTGATGGAAATTATACTTTTTATTGAAGGAAGAAGGAATGTGGTGAAAGAAATGTATAATAAACCCAGTGAAAGTAATGTGAAAAATACTCACTTTTTTAATACAACAATAAGTTAACTGCTTGTATTTTCTTTCATTTATTTTAATTATGAAAAATAGAGTGAATTCAATAACCAAAGGTTATATTGTTATTATGAATATTTAAGTAACAAGTAAGCGTATCTGCCTCTTTAAAAGGTTTATTTATTTTCGTTTTTATTCATAATGTATCGTGTCCATTCATTTATTTGTGTTCACTTCTCCAATACATTACAACAACACTCATTCAGGAAGTTCACTTGAACACACCGAGTGTATCAATGTTCAATTCAGAAATTATGGAGAAAAATCGAATTACATTTTTTTTCTCTCTTCTCAATAGGGAGTGAGTATACCCTATAATTCTATATAGACCTGTGAATTATATACGTGGTATATCTCTATACCTATAAGTATATATCTATGTATATCACCTCATGTTTGTAAATATTTATATGTGTATTAATAGTTCCTTATATCTATGTTTTTTGTAGTTTATTCAAAAGATTTTGTGTTTCATTTTTTTATACAAATGTATGAACGTTATACCTGCGTCATTATGTCATTATATTTGTTGTGTGTAGAGAGATTCAGTCCGTAATAAAGCAATCAGAAAGGTGTTTGTCTGTTTCATTTGTGTCATTAATAAGGTGCGTGTGTGTGTGTGTGTGTGTGTGTGTGTGTGTGTGTGTGTGTGTGTGTGTGTGTGTGTGCGTGTGTGTGTTTTTTACTGTGAAACTTTTAGTATAATAGGGTGCATAGTGTTATGTTTATGGTGACATTAAATCACTACTGACACACACACGACACAATCACAGTCATGGCATTATCAACTAAGGCATAAATGACACAATTACGGTAATGAATTTTCAATTACCTTTCATGTAAATAGAATATATAGAAATAAACTAAAAAAATTACTAAAACCCAGTTAAATGACACACACACACAGCTGTTATCTTCCTCTGACCAGATATCCTCCTCCTAGTGACAGGCCTGGCACTTGACATTATGGGACCTGCCACGCTTTGCCATTTACAGATGAAATGTACTGGGAACTTTCCCCACACACCATCATTCTGTCACTTTATGTAACACAAAACCTATGACCCTTCAGCTTTTGCCCCTAATGCACGAGTCATAAAGGCAAGCATGAACTTAACAAGCTTCGGGCACCGTAAACGCTGCGCTTCCACTTGCACAGGATGTAAAGGTGTAATAAACTAGCCCCTCGGGGCAATCTTGAATCTTCACACACACACAAGCCAACGCGTCGAGATGATAAAATTCAATCACACATGCTAACAAATTTAATCAGCTCTTCGTTAGCAGTTATCCTTCCACACACACACACACACACCATAATACAGACTGGACCCAGAATACTTGAGAAAAATAGTACAAGGGGTTTTTGTATCCCCTTGAAACGAGTCTAGCAATTTCCTGTTTCTTTGTGATAGTCCACTGGCACCTAATACACACTTAATACACAATCATACACACCTGGTACCCAATTATACACACCAAATACCTAATCAAAGACACCTAATACACAATCACACGCACTTAATACCCAATCATACACACCTGGTACTCAGTAATACACACCTAGTACTCAATAAAACGCAATGCCACACTCTTTACAGCGGACAAGGACGCAGTATTATCACCTAATTAAAGCAGTATGGAGGAATTCTCTCTCTCTCTCTCTCTCTCTCTCTCTCTCTCTCTCTCTCTCTCTCTATTTGCCTGCTGAGGAGTCAAAAAAAATACGACCATCAGAATTATCAACACCGAATAGCTATAACAGAATCCAAGAGTATGTTTTTCCCCCTAAAGCTAAGAACAGAATCGGATTAAACTAAAAGGAATTACAGTTTCAACACTATCAACACAACGACAATAAGTATAGAGGAATTCAAACCTTTTTCCCCCATCACCCAAAGAAATAAATGAGAATAAATATAAAGAATTGAGGAGTTTTTTTCTCTCAACGCTAAGAAGAGAATCGGATTACGCTAAAGGTGGATTCGGGAGTTTTTACGTAGCTATCAATCAGAATCAACCAATTTCCTGTCAGTCTATTATTCTTGTGAAGTGCAAAGAAGAATACCTGGACTAATACACAATATTACACTGCGTACAGGCTTAATATATTTGGGACACGGTAATACACGCACTGATACACACTGCCATACACACTAATATACACTTAATGCACCCCAATACACAATCAACACACCCCATACACACATCAATACACACAAACATATACTTCAAACATACTAACACACGTCAATAAACATTCATACACACTAATAACACACCAATACACATTAATACACACTTCATACACACTATCAGACAGCGAGACATAAGTGTGAACAGTAAAGTAAAAACGAAATACCAGAAATATTTGTTCATCGCCTCGACCACAATGAAGGTAGCAATTTTACCTGCCCCCGTCCGTTATTCCATTGAAGTGTAATGAGACTTCACAGGTAATAAAGAATAACAGGTAATAATACACACCCGATGCACACCTGTTACACCTGACAAGCGCCGAAACGAAGGTATGAACGCCCGATAAATAATAATTAAATAAAAAAAAATTAACATTGGTAAAATATCGTTCTCTGGCTCGGGAAACAATCGGGTAATTTGATTCATTTTTTTGTCTATTTCTTTTCCTATCTCTATCTCTATCTCTCCATTTTTTCTATATACCTATCTCTCTCTCTCTCTCTCTCTCTCTCTCTCTCTCTCTCTCTCTCTCTTGACTTTCTTTATCTTTCTATGTCTTTCTCTCGTTCAATAATTATCATGACATATTTTTCCCTCGCCAAATAAATAATCAATATGATAATTGATCACCTGAAGATTAGCGCCCCAGCTTAGTTTACTTGAAGATCAATCACCCTAATGCTAACCTAACCTAACCTAACCTAACCTCGCTCAGTGTGGAGGCTAATCTTCAAGTGATTACAAAATTATTTCGATCGTAATTATATTGACCCCAAACACATCATCCAGGCGAGGTGAGATGAGGTGAGATGAAGTGATATGAGTTGAAGTGAGAAAGGTAATTTAAGGTAAGGTAAGGTTAGGTAAGGTAAGGTAAGGTAAGGTAAGGTAAGGTAAGGTAAGATGAGTTGAGGTGAGGTGAGGCCAGACAAAGTAAGATGAGGTGAGGTGAGGTGAGGTGAGGTGAGGTGAAGTAAAAGATCACAGCGCCCGCCCAGGATACGACGCCATGTAATTCTCTGTCTGATATTATTAACGAAAGATTTATCTGCGCCGTTTAATGTAATCTTATCGCCGGGAGAAGCAACAGCGAGGTCGTGTAGGTTAAAGAGGAGGTAAGGAACAGGGGGAGGAAATGGAAGAAGAACGAGAAAGAGGAGAGAGAGGAAGGAGGAGGAGGAGGAAGTGGTAAAGGAACGAGAAAGAGGAGGAGAGAGACGTAGGAGGAGGGGCAGGAGGAGATAAAACGAGAAAGAGTAGGAGAGAGAGGGAGGAGAAGGAAGTGAAAAAAAACGAGAAGCAGGAGAAGAGGAAGGAGGGGAATTGGCAAAAAAAAAAGGATCGTGAACATAAGAACATAAGAATGGAGGAAACTGCAGCGGGCCTATTGACCCATACTGGGCAGTCCCATTTACACCCAACCCCTATCGCTTTGTTTGAAGCTATCCAGTGTATTCGAGTTAATGATGATGTTTGGTAACTTGTTCCACTCATCCACTACTCTATTTCCAAACGAATGTTTACCTATTTCGCGCCTAAATTTAAATTTGTCTAATTTAAAATCGTTGTTACGCGTTCGCTCCTGGTTGGATAGTTTGGGTACCTTTGTTATATCACCTTTGTTTAGCCCTGACTTCCTTTTATACACCTCTATCATATCGCCCCTCACTCTACGTCTCTCGAGGGAGTGCAGATTAAATGCTTTAACCTGTCTCTGTACTCAAGATTCCTAATGCCCGGGATTAGTCTTGTCATTCTCCTCTGAATTCTTTCTCGGGATTCTACATCAATTCTGTAGTACGGTGACCAGAACTGAACTGCATAATCCAAGTGAGGTCTGACAAGCGCAAGATATAGATTTAGGATGACCTCGCTAGTCTTGTAACTAACTAAAAGGAGGAAGAGGCAGCTCCTTCCTTTCAGTAGCTCGTGGAGGTGTGTGTGTGTGTGTGTGTGTGTGTGTGTGTGTGTGTGTGTGTCTTCCCTCCGCCATGATAGCTGATTTGTTGGTCCAAGTCAAAAAGACCAAAAAGCACTTTCTCTCGCATACATCACCACGATCATCGACACTGGACCTCCATCGTCGGTGTAGAGAGAGAGACTTGTCGTGTAGTGTCGTGTAGTGTAGCTTCCGACGCTCTTGAATGTAAAGGTTCTCGCCGTCGTTTCTGTGACTCATTCAGCGCAATTAACACAAGTCTCTCTCTCTCTCTCTCTCTCCTCTCTCTCTCTCTCTCTCCAAGCAGGTCATACCACCCAGCAGTAATTACCCATTGTCCCGGAGAGGCTCACGTGAGGCTCTTCATTAACCCACGTGATTGAGACTTAATTGAAGGAAATCCTACCTCAATAACGAGAGGGGAAAGCGTTCATATGACCCCCTCCCCCCCATGTATAAAAATCCCCCTTGTTATTGAGGTGTAGGAAATCACTCCAATTAGAGTGTAGAATATTATTGGCTTAAGGTGGACGACTTTCGTTATTGCGGTGTTGAAAATATCTCTATTTTATTGCTTTATGATAAATCCTTTTTCGTTATTGCTTTATTAAAAAAATATCCCTCGTTATTGCCATGTAATAATCCCTCTCGTTATTATAACATGTACTAATCCCCTGTAATCCCTCCCGGCGTGTACTCAGTGGTCCTGGGGATGTTGAAGTAATCCTATGTGTGGCAAAAGTCCTTACGACTCTCTCTCTCTCTCTCTCGGGGAGTGATTTTTTTGGGGGGTGAGCACTCTGTTATTTAGCATATTTATTCCCTGTGTCACCTGTTCGTCAGTTTATTGTATTACCATTGTACCTGTTCGTTAGTCTATTGTGTTACCATTGTCACCTGTTCGTTAGTATAGTTTTCCCTTGTCACCAGTTCGTTAGTTTACTGTGTTACATTTGTCACCTGTTCGTTAGTATAGTTTTCCCTTGTCACCTGTTCGTTAGTATAGTGTTACCTTTGTCACCTGTTCGTTAGTATAGTGTTACCTTTGTCACCTGTTCGTTAGTATAGTGTTACCTTTGTCACCTGTTCGTTAGTATAGTGTTACATTTGTCATCTGTCCGCGATGGATCTTTGCTATGGTGTTGACATGATGGGGTGATCCAAAAGTCTCTGTGCACCCGTAATACATGACAGTATACTTGGTCTTCGCTTTACCTTCATTATTATAACCAGAAGAATGTAAATAATTCTATTGTTTTTGTTGTAGGTGCACATGGACTTTTCGATCACCTTGTATATTCGTTTTGGGGTGTATATATGACAGGTATATGTACTGTACGTATATATGTGTGTTTCTGTAAGTGCTTATACGTATATATGATACAGTTAGCGCAGGTATACGTCCCAATCATGAAACAGAGAGATACTA